CAGGCGGACGGCAACAACATCCACCGACTTTGCTGAGGCAGTCTCCCTGTCATTGCAGTCACCAGGCCCTGGGCGCATCTGGAGGGGAAGAAAGCTGGGATCCTGATCAAGACTGCGCGCGGCAACGTGATGCCGATCTTGGTCAGCGTCGATCTTGGTCAGCGCCGATTCGTGGATCCTCCTCTCGGACTGGAGACGGCCGATGCGGACCATGACCAAGATCGGCAGCGACAAGATTCCACGACCTCACGGTCATGGCCCCCGTGCTTCTCTTCCCTCGAGCAACGCCTGGACGGGGCCATCTGCTCGGCCGTTTGACCCAGTCCCCCTCAACTGGGCGGACGGGAAACAATCCGCCAGCTTGGATGGGACGGCCCCCCTGTCAGCGGGGCAACGGGGGCCCCGAGCGCAGCGCCTGACAGGGCTATCTTGAGGGGGCCCAGGGACACAAACAAACAGACTCAGATCAAAGGAATCTGCTTGTTCTTACATATTTCCTGGATGTTTCTCTTTTTCTTAACTGTGTTTGTATTTAAATATTTTCTTTGACAGTGACGTTTATTTGTGCGCGTGTGTTGTTTCTTCCAGGTATCTGCGAGGCCGTTTGACGGAGGGCCTCCCTAGCAAATGGCCCACCGAAAACGCCAGGGGAGGAACGGCCGGAAAGCGCCGATGGCCTCCACGATGGCCCCAAGACGGCTTAAAGTGCCAGCTCAAACAACACCAAGACAGGCCCAACAAGTCCTGCGGACCCAGACGACCGGCCCAGACGCTGCTCCGTGGGCAGCAAGCGAAACTTCCAAGCTACAAGAAACCAGAAGAAATTCCCAGAGGCCGCAACCGCAAGCCTCGGGCAGACGCGAAGACGAGGCCGAATCAGCAGCAACTACTCGCAACAAGCACGACGGACAGACATCGGAAGCCGCACCATCTCCTCTCGGGGTCGGCGCAAGTGTTAGGTCGGGAATCTCCTCCCCAAGGCGGAGCTTGGACGACAAATTGGAACAATCAGAGCGCAAGCAAAAATACAAGACAAAGTAGAGACATCGCCCCCATACAAACATTTGTTTGGTAGTTCTCCTGTAGAAGGACCTGCCCGACTGCAAACGCAAATGCCGCGAGCCTCTCCACTGAGTAGCACTCTGTGCCCAGGAGGGGGCTCTGGCCTTCGAGCCGCTCATGAGATCTGCTCGTGGCGGAGGCTCGCGGTGGCCATGACAACCCGCATTGTGGTAGCACGAAGACTGCATGACAGTTCGCAATCGTTTTTTGACGACCGCGACTCGGATTTTGACGAGGAGGAGTTTTGTGGGATGTCTGCAGCGGGAGGCCTCGTCAAAATGCAGGCTCGGCCTCGTCATTTTTTTGACGACCTCGTCGGGGATTTCCGAGTCCCCCGTACCCGGGTCTTACGTCTCCCTAAGATCGGGCATGTCCTCCCTGCAGGCGGGCTTTGGGAGAACAGTGAGAAACAATCCGAATCAGCGAAGACAGCCCAAGAGCGCGGCAACTCGTCGCCAGACTGGGTTGAGAAACTGCCCTTGGCGATCCCTCCTGTAGAGGGGCATGCCCGACTCAAGACAAGGGGAGCCCTTCCAGCGAGCCAGGGCGGCGGAGGCCGCGATCCGGTCCGGCATGGCCCTGGTAGCTCTCAGGAGGTCGCGGGCAGCTTCGTGCTGCCCACGGCACGGCTCCCAGGTGTCCCGCGCGGGCCCCGAGGTGGCTCCGAGGCTGCTCCCCATGGGAACGCCAGGGCTCCCCCCCAGGAAGCTGGCATCACTGCCGCGCGATGCCCGCCGCTGGCCCGCTCGCCGTGTCGGGCTCTGGCAGGCCTCGCTGGCCTGAAGAAAGCCAGCAATGCCCCAAGTGTGAGGATCAACGATCAGGGGGCACTGGCGAAACATCGCCGACCGATCGGCAACAGGCCCCCAATGGCGAAGTCGCACCTTCCTGAGCGGCGTGGGCTTGGGGCCACTACCAGCGATGAATGGGCGATTGGGGATCGATGCGTTCCCCCCTGAGCCTCTCCCCCACCCCAGGGTTGCCCCAGCAGGTGGCCCCAAGAGAACTTCAAGGGGTGCCCAGGCCAGCCTCCAATAACCACGGTCGGGAGGGCCCCCACGATCGCCCCGAGAGGGCCCGAAGGGGCGGTGCTCGGGCTCGGAGGGGGGATCCTACAGTAGGAGCTCGACCACACGAATCGTTCCACAAGAAGAAACCCAACCCTGAGACCCCAGGACGTCCGTTGATTTTTGGTGTGGGAGCGCCACTCTTTCCATGGCAAAACCATCGAAACCCAAGAAACCCAGGGCACCTGGAGGCAAACAGGGCGTTTCTTGGCATGGGTTTCCATTGTAATCGAACGCTTGTGGGGTGAGGGGGGGCCGCTGTGAGAGGGCCCCAAACGCCCCGACATGATCCGAAGAGAAACCCACGATGGCACCAAGAGGCCCAGATTGGAGATGCCTTGCACTGCCTGGGCTGATCCCTCCTCTTCATTTGACCTGTGCCCTGTCCCGCATGTGTTACGAATGGCAAATCGTATCTTCTCAATGTTATCATCGCCCTTCTCGCCGTTCTGCTCCACCCTTATTATGTAACCACTGCTGCTGATTTGGAGCTGCTGCCGCCAACTCCCCGTGAAACTGTATCGAATGCAATGCTCCTACTCGTCATCGTGGCGATCCGATGCTCGTCCTCAGATCATGTTCCATCCTGTGTAGTTCATCCCTCCAGTGTCCCTTACCGACCCCATCTGACCCCGTGAGGGCTACAGTACAGTCGGCTGGTAAGTGGGTCGAATTCGAAGTAGCTCTAGGAACTCAGATATCTTTAAGACAGTCGGCCACAGTCAACACACACACACAGAAACAATGATGCCAATCAAGCCCTACGATCTTGGGCATCTATGCCGAAATACATGCAGCGGCGCGAGGCAAACAATCCTAGGATGCGAAGGCACAGCTGATGAAACATTGCACGTGGAACAACTACTGTGGGGACGCAGTCCTGGAAACGCTCTAAACCCCAAGCGGAGTTGCGGGAATCACACCAGACCTGAGGGCGTCGGTGGTTTAGAGCGTGCGTTTCCTCTTCCGCCCCTCCTTCTTCCCCTTCGGGGAGGGGTTTACCCCTCACCCCCTCCCCCTGGACCTGGACAGGGGGGGGTCGCGAGTCGTCGGAGCGTCCAAAACGGCCTCGGCGAGGAAGCCAAAATCATTGATTTGACTGGGGTTTTGGCCCCATGTTGGCCTTCTGGGATGGCGACTCTAATTCGTGTAACCCCCCCTTCTTTGATCGATCTCCTCCGAGATGGCCCAAAGATGGCCCCCACGGCTCCCAAGGATGCCCCAAGAGGGCCCCAAGAGGTGGCCAGAAAGCCCCACGAGGCCCCCAGGATGCCCCCAAGAGGCTCCCAAGAGACCCCCAAGAGGCCCCAAGAGAACCCCCAGAGGCACCCAAGATGCTCCAAGAGGCCTCGGCGAGAATGCCAAATCATTGATTTTACCTAGGTTCTAGCCACATGTTGGCCTCTTGGGGGGGGACCCTGATTAAGATGACTCCGAGAGCGCCTGGGAGAGCCTAAGATGACCTCCAAGATGGCTCAAGATATCCCAGGTTGTCTCATAATGGCTTCCTCTGTGTGCTGCCCACTTCCCTGATCGAGGCAATTCCTCTGGGCATCGTTTCTGGATGGGCTGGTGGGGGTTCGCGAAGCGTCAACAATTACCACATGCCCCAGCATGTCGGAGTCACCCGCAGGGCCCACCCCCACGACACCAGCCCGCCTCTCCCTGACAGCCACTGACTCTGCAAATGGCCTGCCATTGTATGTCGGAAGTTCCCTCTCGGCACCCCGGCGTGACCAGGCAGGGCGGAAGGTCCTCGATGTTGAACGTCTTCACAGAGGCGTCGCCGGATGCGATCGCGAGTACCTCAAAGTCAAGGCACGAGCATAGGAATTCAACCCTACTCTGACGGCTGAACTACAATTCTGGCTTAGGTGAGTCGGAGTGCACAGGGCCCTCCTCTGCAATCATCGAATCGCTGGGGGAAGTAGTACCAACTGCGGCGGATCTCTGGACATCCGTTCTAGAACGTACGACGAAGATGTGCAAATACAACATTATACATATATACGTGTATATAATTTGAAATGGGTGTCGTCCAAGAGAGCCTCCCCAGGAAAGTCTGTTTCTTACGCCACCTGGCACTTACTCCAAATACGTAGGCCCCCAAGACTGCCCAACAGGCCCCAAGACGCGTCCAGGCCCTCAAGACAGCCCATGTGACCACCAAGATGGCGACAGAGAGGAGGCCCCCAAGATGCGTCCAAGAGGCCACCGTAGACAGCCCATGAAGCCCCCGAAAGACCCCCAAGATGGCGCGAAGCGCCTCAAGGGTGCCCCTAGAAAAGGCCCGAGAGACCCCAAAAGCTGCTTAACATACACGCCCAAGACGCAGCAAGAGGCCCACGATGCGTGTCCGACGTGGTCTGAGAAACCCTCGGACAGCCCAGTGAGCCAACGAGACGCCCCCCAGACGGCTGAGGGGTACCCAAGAGACTCCTGAGACGGCCACAGACCCAGGAGGCCACAGAGGTGCCACGAGGCATCGGAGAAGCCACTGTAAAATCCCGACGCCCCCCCCCCGATGCCCCCAAATGAAGCGCACATCTGGGTGAGGCTCCTACGATAAGGAACGATGCATCAAGAAGACAGCCCAAAAGGACCACAAGGGGCTAAACTCTTACATTGTACAATCGCTGCTTGGTGAATGAACCCACGTGTGGCATTAGACTGCTGATGTGTTCGTGATAGTGTTAGTTGGTTGAGGTTGATGATCGCCACACATTTATGTGCATGTAGACATATATATATATGTATATATATATATATGTTTATATGTACGTGTGTATATATGTATACATAGATGCGTGTATATGTATGTATGTGCATATATATAACTGTATATATATTGAGCGAGAGAGAGAGAGAGCC